TTTGTTGTGTGATTTCTTCTACAGCCGTGTGGGTTTACACAGAAACAACATGAGGTGTTTGCAATTACACAAAATCCTCCTTCTGAAGCTAACAAATAATCTAGTGCTATTCTATTGTCTGTTACCATGGCAGCTAATGAAATAGGGAAGCTGATAGGAGTTTAAAGTTCTCACCTGTATCTTGGGCTACCACATCCATGGTGGTAGTGATATTTTTGGCTGTGAGTGCATTGTATGTCATTCCTCCTGCCAATCCCGTTAGACTCAAGAGTATCATAACGCCCGACACTATGAGGCCTATGGCTGTCTTCTAGCAGTGTCGGTGAGTGGGAGTTTTAGATGTCATTGATTTTGGAAGAAGGATGGAAACATCCGGTGGTAAAACATACCATATCGACCAAATGCCTCTAGCTTTTATGGCATTTATACATTGTAGAACAATTCCTTTGTTGCCTGTGCCACCAAAGAACATGCAACCTGATGGGAGACACAGCGAGCCAGGTTTTGTATTGTGTCTTAAGAGGGATGAATGATTTAGCCATGACGTGAAATGGGGATTTAAAGGGTATAGAGGGTTGCAACGAGGGTAGGAAAAGTGGTGTATGTCTTCCCTGGTGCTATTTCGGATGAGTGAGTCCCACCTGCAATAAATGTATTTTTGGAGGGAAACATTGCACAGATTAGGAAAGGATGGGGGAAGGGATATAGTACAGTTCGTGGCACTTGGACCTGCACGGACATATGAAGCATTGCGTATTCCGTTAGATGATGTGTGATTAAGAAAGCAGCAGATAGCTCTTCCTCCCTCAGTGCATGAGTAAGTTGGGGAAGAGGGACTGTAGAAGATAATGATGTGAGCCGGGGGCATGCAATCAAAAATTCACCAATTGCCATTATGGAGGGTAGTAGATTAGTGTGAAGAATGGTGCTGGAAGGGTATAAGCCAAAGGAGTAGTCAGGATCAATAGACGAAAGGGTTGCAGGTATGGACAGAAAAATCTGGGCAGTGTCCCTAAATGGCTTTGGTTGAGACACTGTGGATATATGATCTGGGGTAGCCTGAAGATAGGGTTCACCCCAAGAAAGGGTGAGTTCTTGGAAATAAATCCAACAGGAGGAATTGTAGGCCTGGAATGTTTATCAGCCTATTCCTTGGGAGGTGAGAAAGAATGTATTATTACAAAATGGTTTTGGTGGGGGAAATTAGAGGAATGGGAATAAGTAAAGTGTCAGAGAAGTTAAGATAGCCATCTTATGCTTGGCAGGGTGAGAAGTAGTAGGGTTGAGTATAAATTAAGGGCAGACTAATTAGTTGATTAGGGTCTAGAGCAGGCGTCCTCAAACTACTGCGTTTTTGCTGGTTTGTTTTTTCACTTCAAAATAAGATATGTGCAGTGTGCATAGGAATTTGTTCATAGTTTTTTTAAAACTATAGTCCAGCCCTCCAACAGTCTGAGGGACAGTGAACTGGCCTCCTGTTTAAAAAAGTTTGAGGACCCCTGATCTAGAGCATGATGTATTTCCTTCCAAGGGAAGTCAAAATCCTCCTGTAAGTATGCATCCCAGAGAAATCGAAGGAGAAGATATTTGAAGGGGTTGGAGGTCTCAGACAGAGCTCTTATTATTTGGGCATGTAGTGAAAGTGAAAGCTGGATGTTTTGAGGAAAAGTACTCATCCACTTGGAGATTAAAGACTGGTTCTTCTGGTATGTGGGTGAGCCAGATGGATGAGCGTCTTATTACAGCAGACCTGTAGAAAGAGGATGTAGAGGTGATAATTCCCTTGTTGTAGGATTTAAGAAGGGAAATGTGGATCCAGGTTCGGAGACCTTGGAGTAGTCAGCCGAACAAGATGCAGCCCCCCCCCCCACCGCCTCATACTGGTTGGAGTGGTTTGGGATGTGGAGTTCTTAATAAAACCCAAACTCTGGGCTGTATGGTCAGATTGTATGAAGGAGAGCTCTGTGATCATGGTAAAGTTTCATTAGCAAAGCTCCTAATAGCTATCTAACCAACCCCAGGGTAGGTGTACAATTTTCAAGTGCAAGAGGGTCTGAGTGTGGGAACAGAGCTAATGTAAATAGGTGGCCGTACATGAGTTTGAAGGGGCTGAAGAAAGTTGCGGCCCTTGGGGGTGCCTAGATTTGCATGAGGGCTATTGGTAATAGGGAAGTCCATGATTCCTTCACCTCTGAGGTGAGTTTAGGTAAGTGAGCCTTGAGGACAGAATTCATTTTTTCTACCTTTGCCGAGGACTGGGGTCTATTTGGGATGTGAAAACCCCAGAATATGCTTAGGGTTTATATTACCTGTTGTGTCACTTGGGATATAAAGGCTGCCTGTTGTCTGACTGAATGGAGGTGAGGGGTCCACATCTGGGAATATGTTCTAAAAGTGCATGTGAGACCTCTGAGTGCTTTTCTGAGGTTTTGGGGAATGCCTCTGCCCATCCAGAGAAGGTGTAAACTATGGTGAGGAGATATTTCATGTTTGATAGGGGGCATGTGAGTAAAGTTGATTTGCCAATCTTGGCCAGGAACATAACCCCGTGTTTGATGATGAGTAGGAAAAGAGGGAGGCCTAGCCACCCCCTGAAGGGAGACTGAGTAACAAATAGAGCATTTGTGGGTTATGTCTTGTTAAAGAGAAGATAGGTTTGGACGGTAGATAAGAGGTTTTCGGAGTTGAAGTTAAGGTTTAAATCCTACAGTGAATGATGTATATCTCTCAGTACTGTGTATGTTTGTTCTTGTGGGAGGGTGTATATTCCTTGGTGTAGTGGCTGGCTACAGCCCTTGATGTAGGGCTGATTTGAGTGGCCCTAGCTTCTAGTAGGAAATGTTTTTCTTCAGGGGAATAGTTAATGGAGTCATGAGAGATAGCTATCATATGGTTGGCAGGAGTGGGAGGATTTCCCCAGACTGCCCTTTTTGCCTCTTGTTCTGCTAAGTTAGTGCCAATTATAAAGGGTCCTTGACCCTGTTGGTGTCCTTTGCAATGTATTACCACCATCACCACCACCACCACCTTTGGCTGCTTGTAAGAGTTTAAGAATGAGAGGCACGTTGACTACTGGGGAGTGCTTCGTAGTGAGAAAGACTTGCTTCTTCCATGTAGAGGCATGTGAGTGTAGGATGTGAAAGGTGTATTCGAGTTTCTAGAAAGGATAATTGTTGCAACCTCTGAGAGTGTTAGTGCCCTAACTAGGGCTGCCAATTCAGTTTTTTGAAAATCTGCCCCTATGGGTAATTGCCAGCTTTCAATAATGTTCTCTCGGGATGCCAAATCATACCTGGCTCTCCTCTCTTTTTCATGTAGATAGGAACTGCCATCTAGGTGTAAGTGTAATTAGGTATGGGCTGTTGAGAAATGTTGGAGAAGTGGGGAGTTTTATAATCCAGCATTTCTGTGCAAGAATGTATGATCATGAAAGATAAGTAAGAGAGTAGCTGGGTTTAAAGGAGGGATTTTTTTTTTTTTGAGACAGAGTCTCTCTTTGTTGCCCACGCTAGAGTGAGTGCCATGGTGTCAGCCTAGCTCACAGCAACCCCAAACTCCTAGACTCAAGCAATCCTCCTACCTCAGCTCCCGAGTAGCTGGGACTACAGGCATGCGCACCATGCCCGGCTAATTTTTTCTATAGTATTATGGCCAATTATTTCTCTATTATAGTAAGAGCAGGTCTCGCTCTTGCTCAGCTGGTTTCGAACTCCTGACCTCAAGCAATCCGCCCGCTCGCCTCCCGAGTGCTGGGGTACCGGCGTGAAGACACCTCGCCCGCTAAAGAGGCTTTGGCAGACTATACATGGAGTTCCTACAAAAAGCAGATGAAACTGTTGAACATGAGAAGATGTGAGGGCTTGTAGGGCGCAGTGTGAAAGATGATCAGCTGGAACGTCAACCGGAACAGATGAGGCAAGCAGAGGGTAGCAGCTACAGAAAGAGACCACCACTCCCAGGGGAGGAGGACACAGGAGGAATGCACTTTACTCATCCCAGGAGTCTCTTCAACCACCTGGTAGGTCACAGAATCAGTGGAGGCGCTGGTAAAAGCTGGGACCACAGAGGAACGTGACTTGGAAATGCAACTCAAGGTGGAGAGAGAGAGACACCTGCTCTTCCCTTCCTCCAGTCTGCAGTCTCCCCATAGTCCCTCCACATGAGCAAACCCAGAGAAGCCACGTGCAAGAATCCTGGGAAGTGAGGGTGAGCACTCCACCCCTTGCACCATGCAAAGCTAATGATGGTAAGGCAGAAAAGGAGTGAGAATAGAGGTGAATGACAGGAGAGGAAGGATGAGGGCAGTCATGATTTGAGGATAGGCATTTCCCCTGGGGAGGGAGTTAAGGAATGGGATGGAGAGGTCCAAAATGGGCCTCACTATATGGTACAATTATTAATATTTTTTCATGGAGTCTGGTGCTAATATGTCAAAAGCATTTATACACTTGTAAGTGGTGACCATATGCTCATACATTTCCTATAATTCCAATATTTCATAAGAAATTAGAAAAAAAGTAATGTCTAAATAGCTGCAATAGTAAGCACTTTCTGCTCAGACTCACCCTGTTGTCCACCACACTCCCAAGGGCACCCCACACCTCCTCAGTGATCAGTGACTTTGTGGTTTCTGCAGACTCTGCACCAGCGCGATTGATGCTTTGGTGTGATGGTATATTAAGGGTGGAGTGGGGAAGAGCCAGACAGGGCAAGAGTGCAGAAAGACAGGGAGGGAAGGGGCCAGGGAGGACTTGGGAAAATGAAGACAGGAAATCACAGGATCTCCCCAGACCCCACTCCTGTAGAGCTTTTTCACCTCTCACTCCTGGGGGGCCTAGAGCAAGTTCCCTGGTCTCCCCTAGCCCCACTGTGTCCTCTTCTGCAACACGTGAACAATAAGGGCTCTTCCCTCAAAGGGTTGTTTCCAGGATTCAATTTCTACACCCACATGAAGAGCACTTTGATTTGTGTTGGTGCATAGTAAACCCTCAACACGTGCGTGTTACTGTTATTATGTTTTATTCATTTGATTCCTTGCATCCTCATTGTTACCACAGTTTCTGGTGTTTGACAACCATTTGTTCAGATCAAATAAGTGAAAACCAATTGTCATTTCCTTATCTGAGCCACGCTTTTCTGTGATAATCTTCTCCTAGTTGAACATGTGCATCTAGATACAACACTGCCTGGATTCTGGCCTACAACAGGGCCAGGCTCCGTGTGATTTCAGACAAGCTTGGCTAAAAGGCAGCTCAGGTGGAGAGAGTAACACTTCATTGTAGAGAGAAAAACCACTGGGTAATTCCATCAGGACACTCAGCTTCAATATTCTTCATTGAAGGGAAAATCCTCCAAATGAGAAACCCTACAGAAAAAACAAGCATAAAGAACATGTTCCACAAAAACAACAATTCAGGTTTAAAAGTCATTCTTCTCTGGTGTGTTCTCTCAGGTGCCTCCCCAAAGACTTTGCAAGCACACAGGAAGGGTGCTCTCACTTGACCCTCCCTCAGGCTGATGTGAGGGCCATGCTAGGAAGGAGGCCAGGCAAGGAGGGACCAGGGCACAAGAATAAACCCGCAATGACAGGTTATGTGCACCTGTTGCCCAGCTAGGTGCCTTCCGGGACTGTCTCACCTCACTCTCACCACATGGTGAGGTGGGAAATAGCACCTTAGGGGCTGTCGTGAGTATTAAGTGACATAGTAACACAGGGAAAGGGCCTAGGACCCTGGCACATGCTCAGCTAACATTCAGTGGATGTTAGCTGTGATTAGTATTATCATTCCTACTTTGTAAAGAAGCCATCTTGGGAAAGAGTAAGTTTACCCGCTGTCACACAGCTCATAAATCAGTGGTAGAGCTGGGATTTGAAGCCAGGGGGATTTACTCATGACCCCCACCCCCTCTAATCCACTGCCTCCAGGGGAAATGATGTTCACAGGAGGAGAAGCAGCTCATCTTGGGGGACAGACACATTTATATTCGCCATTCCTCTTTACTCTACATAGCCGTTGTTTGGGGACTTCGGATAAAAGTAACAATTGGCAGGTGGGTACAGGTTGCTGAGATACCTGTAGACTGTTGGCAGGAAGGATGTGGAATATCATTACATTCAAATAAGGCTGGAGATAGTCAAAAGATTTTTAAAAAGTGGGCCGGGCACGGTGGTTCAGCTGGTAGTCCTAGCACTCTGGGAGGCCGAGTCAGGAGGATCACTCAAGGTCAGGAGTTTGAACCAGCCTGAGCAAGAGCGAGACCCCATCTCTACTAAAAATAGAAACAAGTTAATTAACAAACTAAAAATATATAGAAAAAATTAGCTTGGCATGGTTGTGCATGCCTGTAGTCCAGATACTTGGGAGGCTGTGGCAGGAGGATTGCTTGAGCCCAGGAGTTGGAGGTTGCTATGAGCTAGGCTGACGCCACGGCACTCTAACCCGGGCAACACAGTGAGACTCTGTCTCAAAAAAAAAAGTTTTTAAAAAAGTGAAAACTCATGTTTTGGCTTTAAAAACTCAGAAAAGATTTCAATTGTCATTGTATTGGGGTTTGGGATTTGGAAGTAGCAAATACTAGAAGTCACCTTCCCAAAGACATATATCTTTGATTTGTTTAATTAGGTACATTTATCAGAAAGTAATGGCGGAAAAGAGATTTAGAATCATCACATAGGCAGAGTAAAACTTTCTCTTAAGTACTTATAAATATTTAAATAATTTAGGGTAAAGTTATTCCTACCTCCTTTAAGAGGCATTCAAATAATGCCTAGAACTCGAGTATCCCATAACTGACAGAGTAATTCTTCTAGCTACCTATTTATGCAGAATGTGTGGCCTTAAATACCACTCATTTGTCCTCACTGCCAAATACTTTTCTGCAGATCAGACCCTCCCCCACTAACTCCACAGTGATATGCTCAACTGCCTGTATGACACCTCCTCTTAGATATCTAATAAACATCACAAAAATGTCTCCAACCAAACTCTTGAAGTCTTCCACCAAATGGCAAATCCCTTCTTGTGTTGCCCAGGGAAACAAAAAAAAAAGAAAGAAAGAAAATTTGGAGGCACCCTTGATTCCTAATTTGTTAACAATTCACTGGGCTCTACTTTCCCCCTATACGCAGAATCTGATCATTCCTCTGCTCCTGCACCACCATCACCCCGGTCCCTTGCCTGTTTCTTCTCTGACATTATGTTTTAATGTTCTAATGTAAAGGTATAACTGGAAGATTGGAAGGCAGCTGGGATAATTCTTTTCTTCAAATGCTATTTTCTGGTAGTTTTAATAATTAAAATTGGAGTATCTGAGAATCATATGGGGACAGACCCATTCCTACTTGCTGTTCATTATATGACCTACTGGATGCAGAGCTAGGATTTTAAGAGGGGACCAAGTCGTCACCAGGTTGTATACAGGGCGTCCATTCATGCAGTCACTCAACAAATATTTACTGGTCATCTTCTATGTGTCAGGCCTTTTCTAGGTGTTTGGGTTATTCTATGATACAAAATATAATTCTCCATGGGGTTATAATCCAGGGAGGGAGAACAGGAATAAGTCAACTCAAACTATCTCTGTGAGGCAGTAAGTAACAAATGCTATACAGAAAAACAGGATAACGTGGGTAGGAAGCGCTGGAGGGGAGTGGGCTTGATGTTTTATGTGGGTGCATCAGGAGAAGCTTTGCTGATAAGGATGCAACTGAACAGAAACCTAAAGGAGGTGAGGGAGGAGCCCTGTGGATATTGGGGGGAAATTATTCTTGGCAGTGGTAATGGCAGGTGCGAAGGCCCTGAGGTGGAATGGTATTTTGAGCATTCCGGCAGGGGGGCATTGAGGCTGGAGCAAAATGAGTGAGGGCAAGAGAGGAAGGAGATGTGGTCAGAGAGAGGTGTTAGGAGCTCAGAACATGCAGAGTGGCGTAGGCCACAGGTAGGACATTGATTTTAGCTTCGAGTGGGGTGAGAAGACATTGCAGGCTATTGCAGAAATTTGAGCAGAGGAGGGGTTTGATCTGGCATATGTTTTAATAGAACCAGACCGACTTCTGCACTGAGATTGCACAGGAGATTGTTGTAATCATCCAGGGAGGACTAATGGTGGACTCCTGGTGGTCCACTAGTTAAATCATCCTCATGCCACTTACATGCTCCAGCGGTAGACCCTCCACTTTCTGCTGAAGCTGAGTAAGGTCACCATCTCCTCCTCATTCAGTGTAAAGTCAAAGACCTGGGAAGAGGACAGTTCCACTGTATCATTGGTAAGGCAATTACTGTTGATATTTCAGACCACCAGCCATTCAAGCACGGAGTGAGCTCACATCCTAGCACAAACTGGACACAGAAGGTTCATACGTTATGTTCACTGGTTACAAACTTTTCTCTAAATTAAGTCCTACACAGACTGCAGTGCTTATCAAATTAATGTTGCAAAGGGAGGGAGACCAGGCTGACATTTAACCACAGGTGTGCATGTTAAATGTGAGAACCTGATGGGTTCTCCCAGAGGACAGTGCTCCAGACAGTCCACACCTCGTCTGCTGCTGGCAGATGGGCGTTTAGGCCAGGCCAGTCTGCTCTTGTGTATGGTCCATGACCTCACTGCTCAGGGGAATCCAGGGGTTTCCTCAGTGGTGTGAGGCACAGCGGGGCTCAGACCTGACAGGGCTTCACCTCCACCAGAGGGCAGGGACCGGTCCTTAGCCCATGGATCAGTCATCTCAGCTCTGCTAGGTAGCTCCCCGGACTGAGAATGGCAGGGTGGTGAGAAGGGGGTAGGGCCACAGACAATGCAGAAATGGATTGAGAAGCCTGGTGAGAGGGTCCCCTTGACCTACTCCACTGGGACCAGCATGGCCAAGCAGCTGGGATCTTACCTGAAAGTTCTCAACAATGTGTGTTGGTGTCACAGACCTCGAGATCACAACCACATTTCTCTGGATATTGAACCGGATCAGAACCTGTGCAGAAAGGGGCCATCATGTTTCCACTGATCTACAAGACCCCTCCTTCTGCAGAAAGGAAAAATGAAACATCCCTCCAGCTCATTGTGGCTTTAGTTACAGCAGCTAGTGTTCTCTGAGCACTTAACAACTGTCAGAGACACTTCCAGTCCTCTGCTTGATTAACTCCCTCAATCCTAGCAACAACCCTATGATTTTCCTTGTTTAGAAGTAAGGAAAATGGCTCTGGGCATCATATTTCTGATAAGTTGTAGAGTATGGATCTGGAGCCAGATCTTATGAGCCCAAAGCCATGCTTTGTCCCTGGGTTATAAATCTTCTCAGGAAGCTGTTAGAGGTGATCCTTCTTTCTGTGACTGTCCCTGTATTTCCTGGAGATTCCAACAGACTTTCAAAGAAGCACATTTGTGGGCTTCATCTCCTGTTTCCTTCCCCTTCAGGAACTTAATGAACATGGCATAAACACAAGACTGGAAAAAAAATTCCTGAATTAAAAAAAAGAAACCAAAAATAATATACCTGAGCTGTGGTTTTCTTGTGCTTTGCAGCAATTGCTTTAATCTTGGGATCCTCCAGTGGAGGAGGGAAACCTGGGTTGGTCCTGTAGGAGAAAGATGGTGGATGTGAATAATAACCATGGTTACCCTTTGCAGATGGACATCACTCCGATGATGACTCCAGGAGAATCATCACAGCCTCTCGATCAGCCAAACAGGCAGGAAGGCCTGAAAGCTTTGGCTCCCTCCTATGGGACCACACATGGGCTCTGAGCATCAGCGCTTTGCAGAGTCTGGTCCTGGACTGGTCCAGGCCTGGGTGCATGAACTGGAGTATTCTCAGAGGGTCAGGCATGTCACCATTTTAATTCTCATCTTTTCCCATTCTAATTTTATTTGCCTGCTCCAAACACATTAACTTAGACACATTGTTCCTTCTGATGAGTAGTCTGATAAATACATCAATTATAAGATAATATTTTTAAGAATATCAACAGAAACACCCACCACTCAGAAGCCTCACCAAGGTCTGTCTGGAGAGCCCAGGGGGCCGTAGGCCGTGACAGTGATGCCCTTGGAGTGGCAGTACTGGATCAGTTTCTCCTGTGTAAGGAATGGGTGACACTCGACCTGCAAAAGCAAACAGTTCTCAGCACCAGGGAAGTCGGCCTGCTATGTGATTGCTCCTACGGGGTTCTACACACACACAGAAAGACCACCACGCAAAGGCCAAGCACCTGCCCCCTGACACACTTGCTAACCCGCGCTGAGAGCAGTCTCACAGCTCCCCGAAGCGCCCCGATCACTGACACTGAGGGGAGACTCAGTAGGTAGCATCGAACTGGCCTCCAAACATATAAGCAGTAATAGGCCCAAATCCCTGCCCTCTTCCCAGACAGAATGTACCTGGTTAGTCACTGGTTTATATTTCAGTCCGGGTTTGTTCAAGAGCCTTTCGATCTGGAAGTGGTTGAAATTGGAGATGCCAAGGGCTTTCACCAGCCCCTCGTCCACCAGCTCCTCCAGGGCCTGTCAGGAAAGGGACACCTCTTGTGCACCCAGAGGGACAGCAGGGATGCTGGCTTGCCTCAGTGTCTCTGGAGAGATGTAGGTAGAGCATCCACCGCAGCAGGGTGGGCTGCAGCAGTGAAAGGCAACTGCAGCCCAGGCTGGGGAGCCCATTGGCATCAATTCCAGCCCTACTGCCCCTCCCAGCCCCAAGGATGCTGGGAATGAAACGGAAAGATTTTTTATGGGCTTGCTGTTCTCGCCTTCCCCAATCCTGGAGGAGCTGAGTAAACTGGGACAAGGCTGCAGCATGGGAAGGAGCATCATTTGTCTGGTTCTGGGTGACTCTGTGCCTCACCACCCACAGTGTGGTTCGCAGTAGGAGACGGCCACACAGATACATTGTGCCCTGGCAGAGTGCCCAGCCCAGGACTGTGTGGGGCTGGAATCTGGTAAATTCTCCACCTACCCAGCTGTACTCTATGCTTCAGAAACTATGTCAACGTCAAAGAATGGAATCTCATTATTTTAGAGATTATTAGCCTTTTGCAAACTTGCCCAAAGATACCATATGGGTTAGCAGCAACCCAAAATCTACATGTATTTACTAGGCATTTATACCATGTCCAGGTCCTGCCAGTAGTTGTAGGGATATTAAAGTACACCATGTGCTTCCTTCTTCTGAGATCCTTACAGTCCTAGTAAAGTGCTGGGGTTCCTGTCCATGGAGCAAACAGCCACAACACAGAGGCTGCCTCAACGTGACAGTGGCCCAGCACTGAGAAGCAGGGAGGGCAGAGAAGGAAGGGATTCACATGGACTGCAGTCGTCAGGGGAGACCTTAAGGGTAGAGTTTAAAACAAGAAACCTTGCAGACAAGAGAGGAAAAAGAAGAGCACTGAGGGAGCAATGCAGGAGCAGGGGTTCAGAGGCAGGAAGAAGCACAGTGAGTTCAGGGCACACTTGCCTCATGGTTCTCAGCTCTGGCTGCAATGTTGAATCACCTGAGACTTTTCAAAAATACTGATGCCCAGCTTCCACTCCCAGAGCTTCTTACTGATTTCTTCTGGGATGCAGCCTAGACACTGTGATTTGAATTTCCTCTCGTGACATGAATGCACAGCCAATGTTGAAAACCACTAGGGTAGACGATGAACGTCTTCAAACTGGGCAAATGAGTTTAGAATTGGTGAGAACTTAAGTCCCAGAAAATCTCAAGTGGGCACTGAGGTAATATGAAGATACGGTTTTTTGTGTGGCATAGGTCAGGTTTAATTTGTCCATATGATACACCTCGACTTCCTTATACTTTTTTGGCCCCTCTTTGCTTCTGGGTGGTCAAGGAGGTTTCTACTGAACATGTTCTGGGTCCAAGGTCCATCAAAACATCCAGCGCTTCCATTTCAATCCTGTCTGATTCAGATCAGACCCTCTGACCTTGATCATCAATATCTTTTCATAACTTCAAAATGCTTTGCATAGCAATCGTTCTTGTATTCATGCAGAAGACATAGCACTGTGGACATCAGGGTCCATTTTGAAGAGGACAATGAGACACTTGTCACACTTAATATCATCATAAGAACTAGGGTAAAACATCTTGTGCAACTGAGGTTATAAGTATGCTAGTGACCGCATCTCACAATGGATAATTCCTAAGATATTTAAGAGGTCATGGTTTGCCAGGGTAATAGATATGACAGAGCCCTCCTGGTAGATTTAATGCAAAGATGAGTACTGAAATCTTAAGCTTCTTGTGAATCTTGCCACAATTTTCTTTCTTAATGATAAAATATTCCCTGGGTTGAGTCCATGCACACAAACCACTATACTGCTCATTGAACCATGCTTCCCCAATTTTTTCTCCAACGGGAAGTTTTTCATGGCAGGAAAAGAAATATGTTAATCTTTTCTATAGTTCAGTACCAGAATTCAACTTTTTTTATGGCTACAATTTTGGCACTCTCAAAAAGAAATATCTTTTTTTATGGGTAAATCTTAATAAATTTATTTCAGTAAATATATCAAACAGTATCCAAGACTATATATAGTTGGATAATGACTTGTGTAGTCATTAAGACAAAAACAGTATGTAAAATTTTTAAAAAGAACAGGAGTTTCAAGTTGTAATTTGAACCCCCTTCTAGTACGTGGGTCAACCAGCTCACAGCTTATAATAATAGTGTTCCGTCACATGTCATCATGGATTTATACCTAATTTTATAAGGAAGGTAGCACACATGTATGACATATTAATGCCTTCTTAAGTTTCCCTAGAGTATTTGATTGACTTCTATTTATAGTCTCTTGCTCATGAGAGATCATATTGTTAATAATTTATTTAGTATGGCTCTTAGTAACATGAATTGTTGCTTTTTCATTACTGCTAATTTTGACTTGCCAAACTGAACTACAAGTGGCATATCCTTGCTGAGCAAGTCTGGTCACATTACAGATGGCTCTTTATTATGGCTGGTAGTACTTTGTTCTTTCGCTTTTATACGTAACCCAGAGAGCTTCAGACCAGTCTTTAAAACCTATCCATATGTGGAGAAAAGGGAACTTCAAGGTAACATTTTAGGTGGGACTGTAAACTAATGCAACCATTATGGAAAACAATATGGAGATTTGTCAAAAAGTTAAAAATAGAACTACCATATGGATTGAGCAATCCCACTACTGAGTATCTCCCCATAGGAAAAGAAATCAGTATATCAAAAGGGTACCTGCACCTGCATGTTTATGGCAGCACTATGCACAATGGCAAGGATATGGAAGCAACGTACGTGTCCATCAGTGGACAAATGGATAAAGAAAATGTGGTGCATGTACAATTGAATGCTATTTCACCATAAAATAGAATGAAGTCATATCATTTGCAGCAACATGGATGGAACTAGAGGTCATTATGCCAATGACCTAGGCACAGAAAGACAAATACCATATGTTCTCATGCATATGTAGGAGCTAAAAAACTTGATCTCATGGCGGTAGAGAATAGAATAATAGATACGAGAGGCTGAGCAGGGTATGAGGATAGGAGGGTGAAATGAAGAGAGGTTGATGAATGGATATAAACTTACAGTTAGAAGACATGAGTTCTAATGTCCCATTGGTGACTAGGGACACTATAGTTACCAACAATACATTGTACATTTCAAAGTAGCTAGAAAAGAGGACTTGAAATGTTAGCAACACATAGAAAGGATTCATACTCATGGTGATGGATACCCCAAATACCCTGACTTGATCGTTACACATTCTATGCATGCAACAAATTATCACATGTATCCTATACATATGTAAAATATTATATATCAGTAAAACAAACAAACAAATAAAACAGACCAGTAGGGAAGAGTATGTACTTCCATTTGTTTCCACTGGCAATCAAGCCAGATAAATACACAGCATATGTATACAAAACACATATGGCCATTTATATATAAACTAGTATGTTGGGAAAAAATGTCATTAGGCAAACAAAATAAAAAACCCACCCATGGGATACAGACAGATTTTCCACACTTCATTTTAGCAGGTGCTGTATATATTTTTTAAAAATAAGCAAATTTAATGATTCATGGTTGACCCTCAATATCTGTGGCCGATTGGTTCTTGGACAACATCCACCTCTGCAGATACTAAAATCCATGCATGTTCAAGTTCCTGATAGAACATGGTATAGTATTTGCATATAACCTACACACATCCTCTCATGTACACGAAATCACGTCTAGATTATTTTTAATATCCAAGACAATGTAAATGTTTTGTAAATAGTTGTGATACTGTATTTTTAAATTTCTATCACATTTTACTGTAGTATTATCCTTTTATTTCTGAAAATTTTTAATCTATAGTTGCTTGAAATCTTGAATGCAGAACCTATGGATACGGAGAAACAACTGTACTTGCCAAAGATCATTCCTTTCAAATGCACAAGATCGCTAGCATTGCCCTCATGAAATGAGTACTTCTCTGTAATCTGACCCTTTCCCTCAGTAAGCACATCAGTTGTGCTAAATTTTCTTACTGCTAGTTGTTAGAGGTCAAAGCAGCAAGAATACTGTGCTTGTGGATAAATACTTTTGAAGAAACTATCCACAGAAAAGTTACATTTGATTTAAACATATTAATTCTAATAAATTAAGGGAGGTTAGGCTTAATACATTTTCAGGTTGCAAAACAATGTAAACTCCCGACATGTGCCCCACACAAACAGCTAAGAAAATGACACAATTAACTCTTTGAGTCCTTCTGTCACTATTCATTGACAACATATCCATTCACTTTGTTCTCTACTAACATTTATAAGAAGATATAATACCTTACAAAGAAATTACCAAAGAAAAACCTTCATCTTTTAATACAACATTCAATATAAGTTATGTAAGACAGGTCATTATTGGATCTGAGAGGTGTTTGGATTTGTATTCACTGTGTGCGAAGCACTGCGCACATGGCTTTGGTGGTTGGACTTGTGAGCCAGAGTGAACCTGGGTCCCCTCCCAGCTCTTCCATACACTTTTCCATGACCTGGACCAGTCACCATCCTATGTTGATCTCAATGTCATCACATATAAAAGGGAATAACACTGCCTCCTAGGGTGGATGATAAATGGGCTCCATGACTAAAGTTCCTGGCATGGCAGTTGTCTTCATCTTTACAACATCCTGAGAGATATGTATTATTAGTATAGATTATAATAGTTTTCTTTCTTAAGACGAAGAAACAGAGGCTTACAGAAATTCAATAACTTACCCCAGGTTACTCAGCTAATACCTGCAAGCCTAGGCCAAAATCTCTACTGCAAATGCCTCCTTCTAATTTCAGAAAAATGTGTGTCAGCCAAATTGTGGCAGATTCTATCTCCACTCTGATTTGAGGACTCAGTGTTAGCCTTGAAATTTAAATAGTGTCAGATGGACCCATAAGCCAAATGCAATGAGGAAACAGAGGAAGAACTAGAGAATGACAATGATGACGTTAGACAGCATTAGGATCGTGGGCTCCTGCATACCAGCGTGCAGTCTCATGGAAGACTGGAGGAAGGTGTTCTCTCCAGCACACTTAGAAGAAGCTGGAACCTACCTCCCAGGCATCCAAGAATGTTGTTTTACCGCCAACAATATTGCCTTTGTCATCTTTGGGGAACAAGTCCTCCCCAGGCTGCAAAAGCAGGACAAGAAGTTTACCGGGATGTGTATCCAGACTCTTGGTTTCACTAAACAAGATATCAGAATCATGACTCACACCTGCACACCACATTTTCAAACTATCTATATAAGCCAACCCGAGTATGTAAATCCTTATATTTTGGAAACTGATGGATTTACTTTAAAATCCATTGTCAGAGCATTCCAGAAGCCACTATTATCAGGAGGGACATTAACCTCATACACTTAGATCCCATATATACTTGGGGGCAAACTCTAATTTTAGGATCAATAGATAAGGATTAGCTCTTAAGGCAGTATTCTGAGGGAAGATATTGGCAAAATTCTATCCTTGACATCTCTAGAAGTGTGGAGTGAGGGGTGGCATGCCATCATCACCATAGCTGTGAATTCATGTCCCTCCCAACCTCTCAAGAGCAGGCATGGGCAAAGCCCCAGGCAATGAGTGGGGATTCTTCAATTACAACTGGCTAGTACCTTCAAGCAATACCACAGCTGGACTTTTTTCCAACATGCCACTCCTAGGGCGTGCTTTCGTTAATAAGAGAGTTGAGCCCTGAAATAGTATTATGCAAGAATATTCCAAGAGTTCTCCTGGAAGGGGAACCCCGAACATAGAATCAAGACAAAGGTGCTATGGCAGTGCCAGTTGTCTGGGCTGCCAGAAATCATGGTTTCTCTCAGATATAACATCAATTACAGCCAGGCACTTGGCTGACTCAACAGCCACATGTGGCTTGGCCCCCTTCCAGGACAGGACTTTCTGCTCCATAGTCTCCTCCAGACCACCTGCAGGTCACAGTTCTGCAAGGCAAGTCCTCCTCTCCAGCCCATGCCACCCCCAGCCCTGGCACAGCTGCCATTTTCTGGCTTCTGCTCAGAAACTAGACACTGAGCAAGGAGGCAGCTCAAACCTGTAATCCCTGCGGCCAGTGAATCAGATAGAGGTCCAGGTAGCTCAGCTTCAGGTCCTCGAGGGTCCTCCGACAGGCTTCCTTCACGAGGGCTCTCTCAAAGAAGGTGGGCCACAACTGCAAAGAGGGCAGCGCTGAGCCTTGAGACTGGGAGACAGAGGCCCCATCATTCTCATCCTCCTGCTTTTTGATTTGCCCCTGATCTAACCTGGGGCCAGGACATTTATAACAAAATAGGTTACAATACATGATCCAGTATGGTAGGTCACCAGGGCTCAGCAGGTCAATGACATTTCTTAAGACTTGAAGGCCATTTATTTTGACCTCTCTCAGTACTGTACATGTCTCTGATATCATTTTGCAAGTGTGGCCACTGATTTAATATTTATTTTCCGGTGTAATTCTCTTCCTCAGCTGTCGCCTGTCTGAGAGCAGGACTTGTGTCTAGCTTCCAAATCTCAAGCATGCTTATGCGTTAGGGAGCAGAGGGTCCTTTCTCTTCACTGCACTATCTCCAAGCCTGTTGGCCCTACGGATGACTTTACCAGCAGTTTCTATATGCTGCACACCTTGGGGTCTATTGCTCCTACCACACGTGCGTACTTTCCAAATACCTGAAACTAGTGTTTTTTGGCAAGTTGCATATTAAACAGATCCAGTGACCCTCTACCCCTCACACCCAACAGCTACTTCTTTATTTATGACATTTCATAACTCACCTTTGGAAAGGTGGTCTTACTAATAACCTAACGGAAGAAAATAAATTATCAAACAGAAAGTAAGGGAAATAAACTCACAACATATAATTCCCCCTTTGAAGAGAAAACTCACAACAAAAAGACCCACTTTTTTTTTTCATTAAAACACCTGTGGGGCCAGGCGTGGTGACTCACTCCTGTAATCCTAGCACTCAGGGAGGCCAAGGCGGGCGGATTGTTTGAGCTCAGGAGTTTGAGACCAGCTTGCCCAAAAGCAAGACCTCCATCTCTACTAAAAATAGAAAAAAAAATTAGCCAGGCATGGTGGCGCATGCCTGTAGTCCCAGCTACTCGGGAGGCAGAGGCAGAAGGATCCCTTGAGCCCAGGGGTTTGAGGTTGCTGTGAGCTAGGCTGACGCCACGGCACTATAGCTGGGACAATAGAGTGAGACTCTGTCTCAAAAACAAAACAAAACAAAACAAAAACATACCTGTGCCTAACTCGTTCTCTCTACATGTTTCGTTTTCTCAGCTTTGAAGAGCCCTAAGTAGACAGCAGGGTGTGAGCAAGCTCTCTGCCTCCACTCTTGCCAGACAGATTGAAAGGACTCTGAGAGGCTGGCCACATAAATGGGAAAAAAAAATAAAGAAAACCTGCAACAACTTCTCCGCTATTTCTGTTATCAGTCTTCTGAAGCAGAAAACAAAAACAAAAACAAAAAACGCCTTTTACCCTTTAAAACTCCAAGCAACTTTCCATCAGCTGTCAGCAATTTCACTCCCTCCTGTGTGCTGTGGCCACTCTCTTCTTCTCTCTCACTCCAATAAATACACTTTGTACTTCTTTCTATCCTAAACTCTGTGTAAGAAATCTTTCTCCCCCGATATAAGAACTTCACACCCTTTCTCCTTTTACCACACTGAAGCAAGAAGAAATTCCTATGTGAGAACAAAAAAGCCCCCACTGTTTTCCAAAACACTCCCTGGCTGAGAACTCAGGGCGGCACCACTGAGACTGCAGTGCTGGGAGGCGGGGTCGGCATGAAGCCCTCACTGCACCCCAGCCTCTGACTGCCACTGGGCAGATGGACCCCCCAGGCAGGGAACAGGGGACTCATTAGGGTTCTGAATAACTGGACTCTGGGTAACTACAAGAAACCAACCCACAGGCGGGTGTAGGGGAGCAGCAGCATCTCCTGCCCCAGTGCTGGTCTGCAGTGTGGACATCATGGCACCCACCTCTGTTATACAGGCAGAGAGGAAGAGGGTGGACAATCAGTCCCTACAGGAGAGGCCCAGGGAGTTCTTGCTGCTGAGCAGATCCACTTACTTCCCCCGGCCTTGCAGGGAAGTGGCCTTGCAGGGAAGTCCCCCCTCAGAGGAGCCCCGTGTACCTTGCTGACGATGAAGAGGTCCTCCCGCCTCACAGCCTTCTCTTGGATCTTCTCTTGGATGGCTTCCCCCACCTTACTCTGATTCTGATAGACGGGAGCACAGTCGATGTGGCGATACCCTGCATCAATGGCCACCTTCACAGCTTCTTTGGCTTGGTCTGGGGGAGACTGAAAAGCAAAAGCAAAAGGAAAGCCCATCACATGCACTTTCACTGACTTACTTATCTAGAGGCAAGATTATACTACATCACTCAGGCTGGTCTTGAACTCTTGTGCTCATGTGATCCTCCTGCCTCAGAAAATGTTTTGACTCAGGAAAAGGAGACATAAAAAACTTTTTGGAGTAGAGTTTCTATTCCACATTCAGAAAAGGAAAGGGCAAAGAGAAATGGAAAAATATAATACTACAAACATCACATTTTGGTCAAACACAGCCAAGCCAAGCAGTGAGAAAAGCCAGTAAAACTGAAATCCCACCAAATTGTTTTTAAATCTCTTCTACTGTGAAATGCACACATGCTGGAAAGTACACAACACAGAGATGTGCAGCCACCCCACCACCAGGACAAGGAATGGAGCCCTGCCAGCAACCTAGAACCAGCCCGGCGTTCCCCGCCCCAGACACCACACCCTTTCTCAGCCCCACACAGTCCTTTCACAGGATATCATCCCCACATCTTGAAAGGGGCTCCATTCATAATCCTTACTTCTAATTCAGAAATCCTGAACATTTCTAGTGAATGAGTATGGGGTGAGCAGATTCCCTGGAGATCTGCATTGATTCTTTGCCACACTCTGATATGGGCAGATGTAGCTATTGAGAAGCTGAGAATGAAACAAACGAGTCTCACCTGCTCACCCAGGATGACCAGGAAGGCATCCTGAGAAAGGCCCAGCACTGACACAAAAAGGGCTCCTGCCCTCCAGCCCAGGAGAACAGATGGTGAACGTGGGTGCAAACAAGGACAAAGTAAAGGAGGCAGACTCTACAGGAGATTAGCCGTGAGGGACAAGAAGGAACAGGAAATCCAAGCATTGCTCCTGGTACCTAGTTAGGGAGGTGCTACCCATCGATGGAAATGGCAAAGAAGGCAGAGTAAGAAGAAGAGGAACAATGCCAAACTCACCCCAAGAGAGCTCAGGATCTGCCTCTCTGAGCACCGGGAACTGCCTTGCCATGTTTTGTCTGCTGACATTTACACAGCCAGCTAGAACCAGAGCTTCTGACCCCCAGCCCAGGTCCTTTGTGGTCTCAGCATGTCTCACTTTAACGTGCATGGGAATCTGGGGATCTTGTCAATGTGCAGACCCCCAATCAGTAGCCTGGGGTGCAGCCTGGGACTCTGCATTTGTAACAAGCTGCTGATCAAAGTCCCACACCGTCGCCAGCAAGAAGTACCAGGGCATTCAGAGCTCTGCAACCTTACCTCTCAGCCACCCAGCATATAGAAAATTGCCAAGACTCCTTAAATATTGAGCCCCCTTAAGTCTGGAAGATCCAAGGAGTGTTTTAGAGAAATTTCCCTGGGTAACAATTTTAAGTCCAGCCCCTGCTTGAAGCTTAAAGTTTGCTATAGAAGCTCTCATGCAGCCTTGGAGATTTGCAGCCTGAATAAACCCTGAGAAAAGAAAGCAACTTGGGTCCTGGTTCTAGGGCTGAATCTCATCTTGCCAAACCACTGCCCAGGCTAAGGACTTTCCAGCTGAATGCAGAGAGGAGAAAACCCCCAGGTCCCCCTCCAGGGAAGCGGAGTGTCCAAAGATTTGCATTTTACCATCCCGGTGCCCAGGCCGATGATGGGCATCTTGACTTTGGTACTGAGCTCCACGAAGGTGGCCATGGTTGGTGAGGGAGGGTGGTGAGTGAGCAGGTAAGAGTCTTGAGTCCTGGTTAAGAAGCTTGCACAGGCTGCAAGAGGAGGACCTGGAGATGGGCCACAGTAGTTCCCCTACCCTGGCTAAAATAGAAAAACATTCCAGGATTTGGTACGATTAATGATTACTGTTAATTAAATTTTAGCAAGGCAGCCTCATGCAAAGTTCTCTTCGGATCATGGTATAATGGGAGGTTTTTTTGTTCGAGTAAACAAATTGCACATAGCTGAAAGTTGGAAAGCTGAAGTTCTTTTGTGTAAAACTAACCCAGCTAGAGGAGATGAGAAAGAGAAACAGAGACTGCAAGAGAGAGAGGGTGGGAGGAAAAAACGATGGAAGGAAAAAGATGAAGGCCTTCATTCCTTGTGATTGTATCTTTCCTCTGTGATATGGGGTCCAGAGTGTAGAGGTGAGCAATATCTCACATTTTAAAAGTTGCAATTCTCGGTCAAATCCTCACCTGATTAGCCTCAGCTCTGTCTAGTTGGGCATCAGCAGTCCAAGGAAGCTGACATAGGCCTGTGGCATGCCACAGCATCACCTTCATCCTGCAGTAGTGGGTTTCTGTGATTTATGTGTTCTGACTTGACGTAGGTTGGCTTTGGTGGAATTCTGAGATGCATATTAACCTCTAGCCTGTGGGTTATGACATAGCCCATGGGGACCAATTGGCATAATATTTTGCACGTATAAGTGAAAATTCTTAACACCCTTTATTAATGTAGGTTAAATTGCCTTCCTCAGTGTTCATCATGCATGCATGGTTCATAATCTAGTGGCTACTAGGAAGTGGTAGGAAGTCTCATGAACCTAAACATGGGGAATCTTATTGTCCAAGTCTGTACCCAATGACACAGCAGTATATTGTTGAATCAGTAAACACTTTGTGACTGTCAAGCTAAATAGCAAGCAGAGAAGGCTCTCTAGAAGAAAAGATCTGTGTTCGGGAGTATAGCACTGCAATGGGAATATACATGTCACAGTAAATTACCTGTGTATTCAGGGGAGTAAAGGAAGACAAGAGCTTATAAAGGAAAAAATGAGGATGATTACATAAGTGTTTTGAAATACTTATCCTTGGCTACAAAGATCAATTATAAGAATGATGGGAGTATGTAGTTGGAGAAATAGTTGTTATTCAGATGTCCTTGTAGAATTATTAATATTTTTTGTGTAGGGATGCAGTGGCCTTAGTGTAATTTCTGATTTTTACAGTCATTTGTGATAGTTTTTGTTACCAGGCATACAAACTTAAGAAATCTCTTCATGGAGAGCCCAGCTCTTTTTGTTGAGATTTTGTTTTTGTCTTTTTGTTTTATTTTTAATAATTGTGACTCACTTTTGATTCTGACAACTTTCACATGACTCACAGACTAAGAAAGATGTATTGCTCTTGGTAATATTTCTCTTAGAACCAAGAAAGCTATGAGTCAGTGAGAAGAGAGAAGGTCATTATTACACAATTGAGATTAAGAAGATATATCAGTTAGCTGTTTCTTGTAACAGATAAGCTATTGTCACAACCATTAATAGGCTCATGATTTCGTTGGTTGGCAATTTGTGCAGGAGTTAATTGATAAGCTTGTCTGGACTCCATGTGGTGTCAGCTGGGCTGGTTGACGTGTTCAGGTTTCCATTGAGTGGGCTTAGGAATGTTTCTCCTCCTCCAAAAGGCTCACTTGGACTTGTTTACCAGGCAGCAGCATTCTGGGTGGCCTACTCTCAGAATGTGTGCAATGTTGCTTCTGCCACCTTCTACTGGTCAAGGTAAGGTGCATGACCAGCACAGGGTCAAGGAGTGGGAAAACAGGCTCCAAGCTATTGCAAGGAATTTTGGCTATTGTTTTTCAACCCCAGCAGGTGTAATAAGGCCTCTGATTAGCCACTTTTTAGCTTCATGTATTTACTGATCTATTCCTCCTTTTAGACTTTTAGGAAACTATATTTCTCTCTCTCTCTCTCTCTCTCTCTCTCTCTCTCTCTCTCTTTCTCTCTTTTTTTTTTTTTTTTTTTTGCCTGATGAATATATGTGCATAACAAGTTTTACTTTGTTAAAAATAAATGCATACAAAATTGAGGGAAAATTATCTTCTAGAAGAAGAATGAACTAGGGATAGTGTCCATATTTCATCCCTTCTACAGTGGCCCATGAATTTATATAGGAAAGAGAGAAAGAAGCAATTAACATATCAGGTCCAAATATGAAGGAAAACAAGAATTCCAAGAATGGTGGGCATGCAGGGAACTTTCTGGGCACAGGAAGAGGATGAGCCAAAAGGTGGGAGAAGCCAAGACACATTGGCAGACGTGGAGGAGGCCAGTGCACGGACGCTCAGAGAGGAGCACTGCTGTGGGGCCCAGTGGAGGTGAGCAGAGGGTGTGCAGCAACCACGTGGTGCAGAGCCACAGAGCGTCCTTCATGGAGGGAGATGAGACGCATCATGGAGCTGAGGAAGCTTAACTTTCAGGCATCCTGACTTGGGTGGGCCTGTCAATACTTTGTATTCTTTTTCTTAGAAAGAATATCCTAAATTACACTACTTCAAGATCACAAAACCTGAATCCACCCTGCCTATTAAGCTTTATTTGAAAACACCAAAATTTTGTATTTTATTTTATAAAAATCTTTTTATCATGAAATATTTTGAAAATATACAAAAGTACAGGTTTTCTCCCCTTTCTCTTCTTCCCACATACTTTATTTAAGAAACCACCATCCCTTGCCCTCTATACTTTCCCACCATCAGGATTTTGCGGGTTATTGCATTCACAAGGAGTTATTTTACATGTCACTGTGACCCCTGTATACCTTGGCCTCCTGCCTCAGCCTCCCAAGTAGTGGAGAATACAAGGGCACACCACCACACCTGGCTAATTTTTCTGTTTCTAGTAGAGATGATGCACTGCTCTTGCTCAGGCTGGTCTCAAACTCCTGACCTCAACCAGTCCTCCTGCCTCAGCCTCCCAGACTGCTAAGATTATAGGCCTGAGCCATTCTTTCCAGCCCAACAATGGAATTTTTTGATAATTGTATTTTGTTAGCTAATATGTTGCTACACATTACCTAAGTCAGAGCAAATGTTCACCACTCAGTTTTCCCATTTTATCTAAACCTTTTGATTGGTAACTTTTAAACATTTAAAAGAAAAATAAACTAATGTTTACACAAGGCTTAGAGAATTTATTTGCAAAGTTTAGAGTACAATTTAGTTAGGGACTACAACTTTGTATCACTGTAATTGTTTTTTATGGGTCCCCTCTCAATCTCCTCCTATTGACACTACCCTGCCATGTCCATTTGTACCCAGATCCCTGCAGTAGTTTTCTAGCTGGTCTCTGTGGATCTACTCTAGTCTCTTTAAAGCAGCGGTTCTTAAAGTGTGGTGTCCACTCCATCATCAGCATCACCTGTATCTTAGTCCATTCTGGCTGCCCTAGCTATATGCCATAGTCTGAATGGCTTGAGCAATGTAAATTTATTTCTCACATTTCCGGAGGCTGGAGGTCCAAGATCAGGGTGCCAGCATAGTCAGGTTCAAGTGAGGGCTCTGTACCTGGCTTACAGAGAGCTTGCAGACATCTTCTCACTGTCCTCACTGGTTGTGGGGACGGAGAGGGAGTGAAGAGAGGAGAGGGAATGTGGTCTGGTATCTCTTCTATAAGGGCACTAATCCCATCATGAGGGCCCCACCCTCCTGACCTCATCTAAACCTAATTACCTCCTAAAGACCCACCTCCCAAATACTACCACATTGGGAGTTAAGACTTCAACATATGAATTTGAGGGGACACATTTCAGAACATAGCACCTAGAACTGGTTGAAAATGCAAATTCTTAAGGCTTACCCCAGACCCACTGATTCAGTAACTTTGGAGGTGCGGCCCGGCAATCTGTGTTTTCACAGATCCTCCAGGTGAGGCTGATATGTGCTGAAGTTTGAGAGCCCTGCTATAAACTTGCTATTCTCTACACTGCATCCCAACATTCTTTTAACTTCTTAAAGGGATCATACTAGCACCCTGTTTAAAAATCCACCAAGGAGATCCCCCTGCACTTACAGGGAAGCACAGGCATGAGGACGGGCCCTTCTAGGCCCTGTGCTGTCCTTCACAGCCTGTCCAACCACACCTGTGCCTCGCTCCACACACTCTTCCTGTGTCAGACCTGCAGACCTCCCCACTGCTTCTCAAAGATTCCAAGACTTTCCTGCCTCTGGGGCAGTTGCACTTGCTTTTCCCTCTGATTGCAATCTTGTACTGGCTCTAGGCAGGGCGGACTTCCCTCCTCATATCTCAGCTCAGAGGTTTCCTCTGAGAGGATCCTTCCCTGTCCAGTGAAAAGTGGAATGTCTACCTCCTCCCCAACTACTCTCTATCTTGCCATCTAGTTTATGTCTCATATCAGCTTATCATAATCTGAATTAATGTTTGTTTACTTGTCGATTTCTCTTCTCACTAGAATTCAAAGTCTATGAGAAAACAATCCTGTCTGCCGTGTTCACCATAACCATTCCAATGAGATAGTATGTTGTGGTGCTCAATACATGCTTTGAATGTATTGAGCATGCTCAATACATGCTCAATACATGAATGAATGAATGAAGCATTGCGGCTTGTGAAAGTATCAGTATTCTAGCAAGAAAGGTATACAGGCTGTTATAATACAAAAAACTTTAGGTCAGAGCAATTTTTTAATGGCCAACAACTGTATCTTTCTGCTGATTATTGAATATTTATTATTTGTCATCTTCCCCATGGCCATAGGGAACAGTCTAATCCCTGGAATAGAGCTGCCATTTCTTCCCATTGTGCACCTGCGACCACCCAGAGTGAAGATAGAAGAAACTCCTAGGGGAAAAATTCAGGATGAAAGATAAAGGAAGGAAGATCCAGGCAAAAGGCACAGCACTCCACCTGACAACTTTTCCAATTTATCCAAATCCAAATCATTTGTATAAATTCCCATTCAAACAGAACTACATGAAGATGTTCCTTTGCCAAAATATCTATACAATCGTGTAAAAAAACCAATTTGTTAAACATAAAAATCAAGTGGAAACTATTCAGGAGTGCTGATTGTATGTAGATTTACTTTGCCTTTTAAGCAAATATGTTTTTAAATGCCATTTTATTATTTATTTATATTTAATTATTGGTTCATTGATCAATTTTTTATTTCAGCGTTTTACGGAGGTACAAATGTTTAGGTTACCTATATCACTTTTGCCCCACCTGAATCAGAGCTTAAAGCATGTCCATACCCCAAATGGCGCACACTGCATCCATTAGGTGTGAATATACCTATTCCCTCCTTCCCTCTCCCAACCTGCCCGACACCCAGTGAATGTTACTACTAAATATGCACATAGGTGTTGATCAATTAACACCAATTTGATGGTGAGTACATGTAGTGCTTGTTTTTCCATTCTTGTGATACTTCCCTAAGTAGAATGGGCTCCAGCTCCATCCAGGATAATGTAAGAGGTGCTAGTTCACCGTTGTATTTTGCGGCTGAGTAGTACCCCATGGTATATATATATATACCACATTGTATAAATCCACTCATATATTGATGGATACTTGTGTTGTTTCCACATCTTTATGATTGTGAATTGTGCTGCTGTAAACATTCTAGTGCAGATGTCTTTTTTATAGAATGTCATTTTTTTCCTTTGGATAGATGCTCAGTTGTGGGATTGCTGGATCAAATGGTACTTCTCCTTTTAGCTCTTTGGAGTATCTCCAATACTACTTTCCAGAGAAGTTGTACTAGTTTGTAGTCCCACCAGCAGTGTATGAGTGTTCCTATCTCTCCGCATCCATGCCAACATTTATTGTTTTTGTACATCTTGGTAAACGCCATTATCACTGGAGTTAAGTGATATCCCGTTGTGGTTTTGATTTGCATTTCCCCGATGATTAGAGATGTTGAGAATTTTTTCATGTTTGTTGGCCATTCTTCTGTCTTCTTTTGAAAAGCTGCTGTTCATATACTTAGTCCACTTTTTAATGGGATACTAGGGATGGGGAAATTTGCCTACTGGAGATATGTTGGAGCAGTCACTGAAGGGTTGAAAATAGCTCCATGGCTTGAGAAAGTCAAGTGTTAGAATCTTATCATCAAAAAGTATAGATCAGACTAGGGTGGTTGTCTGCACCTATACTCCCACACTTTGGTAGGCTGAGACAGGAGGATCACTTGAGCCCAAGAATTTGAGACTAGCCCAAGCAACATAGCAACATCCCATCTCTACAAGAAATGTAACAGTTAGCCATGTTGTTAGACATACTTGTACTCCCAGCTCATCAGGAGGCTGTCAGGGCTGCAGTGAGCTATGATCATGCCACTGTACTCCAGCCTGCTTGCCACAGCAAGACCCCGTCTCTAAAAAATAAATAAATAAAACTTAAAAATAAAATAAAAGTATAGACCAGATAATTCACATTTGTAAATTTACCATATTTCCTACAATAACATTAGTGATTTATTTTTTAATTTCTATAGATTTCAGGGGTATGAGTGTTTTTATCTTACATGGAAGAATTGGATAATGCTGAAGTCAGGCCTTTCAATGTACCCATCACTAGAATACTGTGCATTGTAATTGATTTGTAGATATTTGTCCCTCAGTCTCCACCTACCCTTTTGCTTTCCTAGTTTTCATGATCATTGCACAACTTTATGACTATATATATCCCTCATTCAGCTCCCAATTATAAGTGAGAATATGTCTTAGTTGTTTTTCCATGCCTGAGATGCTTCACTTAGGAGAATGGTCTCCATTTCCATCCATGTTGCTGCCAAAGACACGATTTCATTTCTTTTAATATCTGAGTGATACTCAATGTAACTTTCAACATTCAAATAAATTCAACCCACAGTTTATACACAATGTATTAGGAAGTATGAGAGATTGAAGAAAAAATATTGAAACATGGACCCTAACTTTGAACATTCTTCTCAGAATGGAGAATGAGAAGAGCCCTCACAACCAGATGGCCCTGAACTCTTCGACCATCAACCTGAATGTCCTTCTTCTTCAGCCTTTTTTTCATCTACACAGAACCATAGCCACACCTTGGTATTGTCTTCATTTAATACTCCTCCATCATCAAGATTTCAAATCTGAAATTCTTCTAAAACACAAACTCCTATTGTTCTGTCTTTCTTATACCTAATAATATTTTCCCTCATCATGAACTCCATACATACCCTTTGAATGCTTATATCCAAGTCCTCCAGCTGGATCTTGGTTTCTCTATGCTTTTCCCAGCCTAGACACCATGGATATGAGAAGTGATCAAGGATCACTATGTGGCACAGATACTCTACCAGACTGCCCACCAGCTTGGCACCAAGTCAGGTAAGGTAATGGATGTTCATAATGGGATCCTCAAGTTCAAAGGGGCCAGATAATAGTGGAATAAATCATACAGTAGAGAATATGGGGAGAATAATCGCTGGAGTACAAGAAGACCTTGAGCCCATACAAGAGTAAACCAGAGAAGGGGCTAGGCCTAAGCAATATGGGAGATGGCAGGGTACTTTCAGGTTCATCATCTGTAACCACTTCACATCTATCCACTTAGGTAGTCTTCTCCCTGCTTTGAAACATTTCTTGCTCAATGACCCTGAAGGAATTTCTACCTAAGGGTTAGTTACTTAATTTCAACAAACTTACTTGAATCCTTTGCTCTTAACTGCCTTGCCACTTCCCAGTGATAAAATAAGTCAACATTCCTGTCTCTCTCTTTCAGGGCAAACAGGTGCTCCTGCAGAAAGTTACACAACTCTGTACCTCGATTCAACTCTAAAGTCATAATGTGTAACCATAGTGGTCACGTCAAAGCCGTTCAATTTTCCTTCATTTAATCCTTAATTAACTCCTTGGAGCATTCCTCATAGAAGCAATTCTTCTTTCCTCACTCCCTGAGATTCCTTCCCATGTTTCAGCTCACCCAACCACAGCAGTTGACCTCACATCCTTCTTTATCTGGAGGGGTTGGACCATCCATCCTGTCCTACTCTTTGTCCTCTCTACTGTACACTGAGTACAGGACCTTCAGAGTTCTATGTGATATATTAATAGAACTGGGTGGAAAAGACATCAGAAATTCCACCGTCCTCAATGGAATGTAATCAAAGTGGATATCCTATACCTCATCTCTGAATCAACTTAATCCTCTAAAAGATAAGTTACTGATGTTAATAACTGGAATGTTTCCTAAAGTCTAGGAAGAAGCCTGTGGTGGCATCTTTTACAAATCTTTGCTAGAAAGACATGGTTTTAAACTATATACTAAATAATTAACAAATGTTCTCTACTATTAACAAATGACAAATTAACAAATTCTCTAAATTAACAAATGTTCTCTACTCCTTTAAACTTCTACTGACTTTATCCCATCCCGATGACTTGTGAGTCAGTCATTTACTTAGTCATTCATTTAACAACAACCTACCCTAGAGCCAAAACTCTTAAGCACTCTATATAATGCCAAGTACAGAATTATGATAATGAAAGACATTTGTGAGAGATACTAACTATTGGAAAAGAAGAGACATTCATTCAGAATTTATCAAGATTATTCTTCAGTATTATCAAAAGGGAATCCACCTGCTGGCCTGCAGGCAGATGCTAGTCACCATCAGTCTAGAGACAAGTGCCACAGGCTTAATTCATTTATTACAAACACTCCTCTAATATTCAAATAGTTTTCAAAGTCTTTATACATACTTAAAAGATAATTTTCTGGTCTGCTTGATGGATATATCTCACAGAAAAGTGATGTAAATAAGAATTCCACCAAATGTATCCGTTTTTATGAACTAGATTCCTATGGATCATCCCCAAGATTATGATTATTCCTGAGTGCAATAACAAAAATAAATTTGCAACACTGTAGACTGGGTGTCAAAATGTCCACACTAATGAGCTGGTGTGCTGTAAGATTCAGCTTGAGCTTTCTGTCTCTCTCTTAAAGCTACCAGTATTAACTTAAAGACACATCCATTTTAAACTACATTAATTAAATTTACATAATTTAATCAATATATTAATTTAATATTAATACTTTAGTTCATCAGCATGCAGAGCTTGTAGCCATGAGTGTGCTGCTTTGTATTAAGAAAGAAAAATAAAATCCTAAGCCCCATAACCAACTGAACTCTTGGCCAAGGAGACCCCAGAGAAACCTTATATCTGAGTTCCTATGCATGACAGGATGGGAAGTCAGACACACCTCATTATACCCCCTCCCACATTTTCCACCATGAGACTTTCTTCTCTAAGGGTTCAGCAGAACCAGCCCTTTGGCAGGATTTGCTCCACCACTGATTTCAATCAACCACATAATTCTTCTCACTTTTTGCCTTTCAGCACAACAACTGAATGCACAAGCATTCTTCTTGATAAGTGGCCACCAATCATGGAGTGGTTTTAACCACACTATGGATATGTAGAGTAAAAGTTTTTAGTATGTTGTTTCACCTTCTGACCTCAGAGGGCCAAAACCCCACCCTAAGATGACATTAAAACTTCAATTTTGGGTACATGCAACCTATAAAGAGGCACTAAGCTCCATTATGCATGCCATGTTTTTCCTTTTATAAATATTCATGACTCCTCCTATAGCTTGTTAAATATGTATATGTGGCCACCTTGCTCAGCACACATTTCTGTTCCCATTGTCCCTCCCTAGAAGCACATGCTGTGGGCTTCTGCCTGAGGCTATTGCTTCCTAGTCTATCAGAATGGCCACCCTGCAGGCTGCAACCCACTATGAGAAATAAATATCTCCGTTTCAAATTTATTAACCTCATCATTTTTTCAGGTGATAGTATCCAGAGACTTTATGATGGATAAGATTGTACAGCAGATAAATATGATTATGGTGAAGGAAGTGTTTAAAGTCCTTGTCTGGGTGCTTGATTTCCAGCTCACAGATAGAACAGAATTAAATTACAACACATTAGAACATAACAATTACAGTAGCATTTTTCTGCTTTAGAATATTAACTGTTTGTTTGTAAGTAAACCAAACAAAACTGAAAGTTTAAAA